GAGCTGAGCAGCTGCTGAGCTGCCAACAGGTGGCAGGATGGCTCAGCTTAAAAAAAAAAAAAAAAGTTCGCCCTCCAGCCCTGGCAGCTGAAGCCCGACCCACAACGAGCCGAGTGGCCTCAGCTTTGAGCGGAACGGCGGAGGCAGCCCCCCCTCAGGAGACCACTAGATCACCTCTTTCTGCGGCCTCGCTATGGCAACTTATGGACAGAGCTGCACGCGGCCAATGTGTATTCCTCCATCATATGCTGACCTTGGCAAAGCTGCCAGAGATATTTTCAACAAAGGATTTAGTTTTGGGTTGGTGAAATTGGATGTGAAAACAAAGTCATGCAGTGGTGTGGAATTCTCAACATCAGGTTCATCTAATACAGACACTGGTAAAGTTACTGAGACCTTGGAGACCAAATATAAATGGTGTGAGTATGGCCTGATTTTCACAGAGAAATGGAACACTGATAACACTCTGGGAACAGAAATTGCAATTGAAGACCAGATTTGTCAAGGTTTGAAGCTGACATTTGATACCACCTTTTCACCAAACACAGGAAAGAAAAGTGGTAAAATCAAGTCTTCTTACAAGAGGGAGTGTATAAACTTGGGTTGTGATGTTGACTTTGATTTTGCTGGACCTGCAATCCGTGGGTCAGCTGTCTTTGGTTATGAGGGCTGGCTTGCTGGGTACCAGATGACCTTTGACAGTGCCAAATCAAAGCTGACCAGGAATAACTTTGCAGTGGGCTACAGGACTGGAGACTTTCAGCTACACACCAATGTCAATGATGGAACAGAATTTGGAGGATCAATTTATCAGAAAGTATGTGAAGATCTTGACACTTCAGTAAACCTTGCTTGGACATCAGGTACCAACTGCACTCGGTTCGGCATTGCAGCTAAATATAAGTTGGATCCCACTGCTTCCATTTCTGCAAAAGTCAACAACTCTAGTTTAATTGGAGTGGGCTACACTCAGACTCTGAGGCCCGGCGTGAAGCTTACACTGTCTGCTCTGGTAGATGGGAAGAGCATTAATGCTGGAGGCCACAAACTTGGGCTTGCCCTGGAGTTGGAGGCTTAATCCAGCTGAAAGAAACCTCTGGGAATGGATATCAGAAGATTCGGCCTTAATTTTGTTTCCAGTGTGACCAGCAAGCTTTTATCCCCCAAGAAGGTGATCAAAACAAAGGATGACCTAAACAAGAGCTGTATTTTAGATATTTAGACAGTTACTTGTTCACTGGTTTCTAGTTGAATTGGTTATCTAACTAGTTACCAATGCTGCAATCGTGCAGTCACCTATACATTATTTAAATATATTTAACTGTTAAATGCGCTACCCACCAATAATGAAATAGACCTTTATGAAAACTGTGAAAAAAAAAAATCCAGGATGACAGGACTCTACAGGAATTGCCTGGAAAAATTGGGACAGATGTTACCCTGTCTGTAGCCCATGGGTTTTGTTAGCACATCCCACTTATTACCTATGTATGTTAGTGTTAATGCTCTTAGAATTGTGTCCTGACTCCCTAAGATGTCTGTCCTCTAAGCAGTTACATTACACTTACCCTTCCTCATATTCCCAGAACCTAACATTTGGCTTTGTTTTAGTAGATACTCCGTTCTGCTTGTTAATTAGAATGCTGGTGGAAACCATTAGTTGGCAATTTGTATCTTAACAATTCAGAGGCGGCTTTGCCAAAGAAATTGAATGTCTAACTTTTTTCTCTAATTTAGCTTATTGACATGTGCATGCAGTGCTGTGACCCAAGTTTCCGGTCTCTGATTGTGAAGAAGGACTTCGTTAAAGAGGTCCTAGTTAAGCTGCTGAATCCTAGATACAACCTGCCCGAAGACATTCAGAATATGATCTTGAACTTCATTAGGGTGAGTCGGTGGTATGCCTTATGGGATGGTAAACTTCTAAAATTAGAGGTTTAATTACATACCCGTTGGTTTAGCGATCCTTTATAAGCCTATGATTGAGCCACGTCGCATTTGACTCTTCTGTTTCTGTGTAATAATAATTTTTTGGCATTGGGTGGTGCCCTTTTTCTGAAGAACTTGTAGTCATTTTCCTACTCCACTCTCAGTTTCTGTTTTATTCATGTCAGGTAGGAAAGTGGGTGACATGTACATTCATTGTGCAGATATGAAAGCTGTGTTCTGGAGTCCCTAACTGACTGCTTTCAAAGTTAACCTGGCAAAAGAGCTCCTGATGCTATTTTAGACTATGTCTCTTAGTTCTGGATTTAGTACAGCCAAAAAACAATAGTATCTATTTCAGGGCTCCAATACAATGTTGAGGCGTGGGAGTCTGATGATTAAAAATATTTTATATTATTTTGCCAGTCTCTGAAAATGTACATTTTGTCCTTGGCATTCAAAAGTGGCTTTCTCTTTCTGGGCAAGATACATAATTGTCAGTCTCTCATTTTCTGTCCCTAGCGTGAGAACTGTGTTTTGTTTTTGCTGCTGCTTTCAGACTTGGTCACAGGATTTCTCAGGAGGCATGGATATAAGTGAAGTGAGAGAAGTGTACATTGACCTGCTGAGGAAAGGCGTTCGATTTCCTTCCGCATATGCCGAGGCCGAAACCGCAGAAAAGGTAAGAGGTCCTTTTTTGACTCATGTAGAGTAAGGTAGTATATTACATGGCTCTTTTCTCATCGAAAGAGACAACCCTCGCGCTATCCTGCTTAAGCCGAAAGATGAATTATTAGAAGGATACTGCAGTATTTGATAGAATAACCAAGCCACAAGAAGGTTGATGTTAGCTGGGTCATTGGGACCACACGGAACCGAGCACTCAAGTGTCTCATTCCTTGCCTACTTCTGTGTGATCGTCAGCTGCACTCCTCACTCTCATTGCAGACGATTTTTCCACAGAGTGGATAACAGCTCCCAAATTTTCATGGGATAACTTTAGCTTTTTCAGATTCCAACCCAAATCAAAAATCCTGGGAGAAGGGACTCCCTGATCCAACTGGGGTCAGTATCCCATTTGTGACCAAATTAACCGAAGCCTGAGAACATGATGGCCCCAAATAGAAATCATTTGGCTACAGTACGGGGCAGCTTTCAAAAGAAAGGGTTGTTGCTAGACAAGGGTCTTTCACCTAGGTGGTCTTATACTTGTTCATTATTAAACCGGGCCCGTGGGAGAGTTTCTAGATGTTCACATGTATTCATTCTCACCTTTGCAAATTAATTTTCAAGGTTTTGAGTGGCTGACTGTAATTCACCTCCTAACTTTCTATAAAGGAAAAAAACCAGTTGAACTACTGTTTCCTTCTGTAGATTGCCGAGTCCTGCCTTGGTGAAATAAGCAATTTGGGTGTATATAAGAAGACTGATCTTCGAGGAGGCTTTGTTCTGAGGGCTAATTCTTCTACTTGGGCAGGCTGTTCCTGGCCATCTGCCTTCTGTCCCATCCTTGTATCTGCTCACCATGCCCCCGTTGGTTCTTTGTTCCCAAGGCACAGTGCAGTAGGGGCCTAGAACCTTGCTACTCAAAGTATGATTTGGGATATAATTTGGGAGCTTGTTAGGTATATTTAACCTTGGATCAAGTCAGAATCTTATTTTGACAAGATTTCCAGGGGATTTCTCTGCACTTTAAGGTCGAAAAGCACTGGTCTCGAGCCCTGTGCTTGGGCTCCCCTCCCAAGATTGGAAATGAGGCATTGACTAAGGGAGGCGTTCCTTGGTGGAAAAGGAGATACCCTGACAGCTGTGGCTTAAAAAGACTGGACACGAATTGATTTACCATTTGTTTTTAACAACCCCTAAAGAGGACAGCAGTACTCTCCCATGGCAGTTTATCTTGCAGACCCTGGTAAAAACTAAGCATTTTATTAACTGTTAATTCAGTTAATAATCATAAGAGCCACCTTTTATTGACTACTTACTCTGTTATGGTCACACCATTTGCTTAGTACTCTTCCCAAAATGCTGGGCAGGTTTCACACTTGATGATTTTGTACACTTGGTGCTAACACCCTCGAACCTGGACTTTGGTTGAGAGAAAGTGATGGAGTCATCGGAATGGAAAACTGCATTTGGAGTGGTTATGTAAATTCAGATAATAATCATTACATATCTCATTGATGACTGCTCAGGTCTCATCGAATCGACCAACACCTGTTCCTTCGGCACCAGCTCTTTCTTCTGTAGTCGTTCCCAAGTACGCGACCATCACGTTGGTCCCAGAACAGGTAACAACTATTGATGACTTTTTCTAAGTTGTAAGCAGTTAGTATGTGTAGAGTTTGTTTATTCTTCTTAGCACTATGAGGTGGAGGTACGTTAACAGCCCCCATTTCGCAGAGGAGGGGACTGGACATAGTGACACTATGTGACTTTCACGGTTCAGCTCTAAGTGGACTGAATCCCATGGATTCTGTCTGATCCCAATGCTCAAGCTCTTAACAGTTGTGCTTTTGTGTCCTTGTGGAGGCTGGGCTGTGGGGTGGATCTTGTGTCGACCAGCTGATCCCTATTGCTCCTGAAAGGACTGTCCATGTATCATTTCAGCAACCTCAGTAAGTGGTAGCCTTTTTGCTAGTCTTAATTGTGCCAACTGAATTACATTTACCAGTTTGTCTATATCTGTTTATCAGAGGTCCAGATGGGCCATTGTTATATGAAGCTCATTTCGGTTCTGCTCTCAGGGAACTATCATGGAGGGGATTGTAGTATTACTATTCAGCCTTATATAAAAATCCATGTGATTCATTTCTCAGAATTCAATCCAGGAAGAAAACAAAAGTGTTCTTGTCTTGATTCTTTCTTCTATAATGCCGTGAGAACTGTAATACCTTCCTTTTTTATTTTCTTTTTTCCCAGTGGTTGCCAAGAAACCCAGATTGACGTTCTCCAATTTATCCTGGTTCCTGGCATAGTCACCTTGCCCCTTCTCCACATTGGTTCTAATCTGATTTTTTCCCTTTTATTTTTAACTTTCCTAGAGCATATGAGAGATCTTAAGCCCTGGTAGGTGATAGATTAGACATGTGTAAAATACATAAGCATATTGATATTAATTTAAACATAAATTGGAGAATATGAAATTTTATGAAAGCATTTTCCCTTCTGGCAAATGCCCCCTGAGAGAAGGAAACAAGGTAGCCATTATTTAATGTGTCACATGTACTGACTGGTGACTGTGTTGCTCCCTACAGATTGGAAAATTGCACAGTGAGTTGGACATGGTGAAAATGAATGTGAGCGTGATGTCTACCATATTGATGCAGAATATCCCTGAATCTGAAGACCCTGTAGACATGGAGCTTCTGGAGGTGGAGTATGAGTTCAGGGACAAGCAGTCAACGTGTCTCTTAAAATTATTCTCTAAACTTAGAGCATTGGAAGTGGAAGACACCTTCACATTGTCTAGTCCACCCTGTTGCATCATCAGTTGATTTCTGAACTTAACAAAAGGATGCGTGCTCCTTGCCCTCTCTTGCAACAGATAGTTTACTGTCATTTACTCGTTTGTAGCCTGGATCATATACAATCTCTTATTAGTCTCTAATTGTTTTTAATCTGTAAAAGTTGCCTCAGTAGCCATCCATTCAACAAACATTGAGTAACTACAATACAATGTGATAAAAGCTATAGAAATGAGGAGGCTCTCCTAGTCCTCAAGGAACTTATGTCTAGTCAATGAGGTTGTTTTGTAAACAGCATTTTAAAAAAGTGTTATAGATGCTATGACAGAAATCATACAGTGAGATCAGGGGTTGGAGCGAGGAGAAAGCTGAGGGTTTTGGAAAGGTTTAGGCGAAGGCAGTACTCAGGCTGGAGGAAAAAGTGGACAGTGCATTTGGACCTGTATCAGCAGGTGAGGAAAACCATGAGCGGTTTATTATTATTGGAGCGATGGCCGTCCCAGACCTTTATAATGTCTATACATCCATGCACTTCACTTTTTCCCTCCAATGGTTTGTTCTAATGGTAATTGTAAATTTTAACACATTAATTTTAGAAGGAGTTAGAAAAAATTAGTTTCTAAATCTTCCTTCCCAAATAAGTTAAGAAACTTATTCTGTTTTTACTTTTCTCAGATTCCCACTCCATTTCCCACATTGGTATTATCTTCCCTTTAACCTCTCAGACTTGTAGTAAATAACAGTTTTCATGATCATCGCTTATTTGGGAAACTAGTTGTAAAGATTTCCTCTCTCAACATTGCTTCTCCTGTATTACTGCTATCTCCTTGAACCATTCATTACTAGTGGTAAACTTTGAGTACTTGCGTGTCCAAAAATGTTTTTTTTTTGTTGCCATGTTAAGTGCGAGTAGTACGGCTAGATAACAGAATTTTAGGTGCATAATTTCTTTTTCTTAAGGCCCTTGAAGATACTGCTCCATTGTTCTCTTTCATCCATTGATGCTGATGAGAATTGTATTACTGATTCTTGCACCTTTGTTTTGTAATCCACTTTTTTTTCTCCTGGTTGCATTTGAGATTTCTCTTTACCACAACGTTTGTGAAATTTCACTAGACTGTGATTGGGGATATGTGTGCATGTATATGCATATGTGTAACTTCCCTTCGTACTTAGGGAAGTACTTGATAGGCTTGTTTGCCTGTCAACTTATTTGTATTTTCATTCTGGGGAATTTGTCAGCTCTTACTTCAAATATGTTTTTTTCTTACTATCTTTCTGTTCTTTTCTCATGGAACTTTTATTAGATGATGAAACTCCCAGTTGTATTTTTCTTATCTCTTCACATTTTTTATACTTTCCGTCTCTTCATTCTTTTCTGCTATATGAGTAGGAAAGCTTCTCCATTTCATGTATTATTTCTCTGAAACTTGCACATCAGGTCATCTATTTAGCCCTTCTCATGAATGTTTTAGTTCAACAATTTTTTTTATTTTAAAAATCTATGTGGCGTTTTATAATTTTTTTCCCCCCCATGGATGTACTTCCCCCTTTTTCTAAGGATAATAATTATTCTTAAAGTTTCTGTTTTCGGTATGGATTCTCTTTCCTTGAGTGCAGATTCTTTTTCCTTCATCACCTCTTGCATTTGCATTCCTCAAGTTGCTGATTGTGAGCTCATTTTTGCATGAAATTCTGTATGACTCAGGTCATCCATTCCAAGGGGAAGACACAGTTGCTGAAGGTTGTGCTTGCTGATTTTTTTCAGAGTATGCAGGATTGGCATGGGCTGATGCTAAGTGGGATATTTTGGTTGCTGGTCTTCTGAGTTGTTTGCTCTCTGTTTTTCCTGGATGCTACCAGCAATTGGAAATAGTACCCTGTGTCTCCGTCCCAAGTAGTGTTCACACCTGGAAACAGATACTCCTGTCTCAAAAGCTATCAGGTCTCGAATAACAAGAGAGGTGTGACCAGGGATTGTCTTGCCTGGTTGTTTCACGACCGTACCTCAAACTGTCTGTTGGCTGCCCCTTGTGCCATCTTGTTCTGGCTTCCACAGTCTCAGCACGGAGCGTCCTCCGTTTCTTTTCCTGTTCTGAGGCACTGTGGGCAGTTTTGAATGCCCTGGAGTCAGCAAACTGGCTAGGGGGCCCCATACAGGCCTTGGGCTGTTTCTATGCTGTCTTTGAACTCAGAATAGTTTTTACATGTTTTTAAAAAGAGAGATAATTTCTCAAGCTACATCTCTGCAAGCCTGTCTCCAGAGACCACTGGGGAGTCAGACACACCTCCCCAACCCCACTATTAATGGATTTGAGTTTGTGTTACCTCTCCAATGCATAGGGATGAGAAGAGGATTTCAAATCACAGCTTGGAAGCGAAAAGTGCCGGGTAAAGAAGAGTAAGATCTGTTCTGTACAGATTATTAAGGCCCTTACGTGCTGTGCCAGAGTGGGCTTAACCCGGGTGGCAGAAGGGCACTAGTAAAGGGATATAAACTGAAGGACCACATAACCAGATAACATTTCAAAAAGATTCCTCTGGTGACACTGAGATGATTAATTCTGAGGAAGCAAGAAACATCTCTAGGAAATGGTTTAAGATAGCATTTCCTGTCCATCTTCTGCAATATTATCTGGGGGACATTGCATCTGTGGTCAAATCAGTTTACAAAACAAATTGCCTACTGTATTTTTCCTCTCAGAGGGTCTTAAAACTCATTAGTATAGTAAAGGCTCTAAGAGTCTGTGTTTCATCCAACATTTGCAAACTTATTTGTATAGTATCTATACAGATATACTCATTTGCTGAGTAACTATTCGGTGTTTGGGGTTCTTGGCCTTTGGCAAGTCATTTACTGTCATTGGGTTAGTTTCTGATGTAAAAAATGAAGAGTTAAGATGAGACTCTGTAAACAAAAATAATGTTAACACATCCCCTATAGCTCAGAGGTTAAAAGTAATTATTGGAGTGGCTATGTAGTATCCTTTTTTAAAAATCCACAATCAGAGGCTTCTACAGATATAAACTTTGTGACTCGTGATGTTAACAAGGGTGTTAAAATATAAAATTAAATATCAAAGTAAAAGGGTATGTGGCAGATATTTTTCAAAAAATGGCCATATTCCACTTAAATATGTGAATCCAGTTTTGTATTTTATGCAGTCCTGGAATACGCTGAATGCCTTTTTGTGTCAATCTTTGGGTGCATTTATTTGGTTGGGTGTTGCAAGTTTCATGCTAATTTGTTGGTTGCTGTTTGGATGCCAGAGCTTAGGGCTGTGTGTTGCCTTGAATAGTAAAGAGACTTGGGTGATAAATCAACATTAGAATACTACTCAAGGCTAGTTCAAGTTGAATGGGTTCTGGCATAGGGTCAACTTGTTTCCGGAGCCTTTTGAATGTGTAACTTGATTTTTCTTTCTATGCTTTTCATTGAAAAACATAGAAATCTGGTGTGGGGAGTGCTAGTCTTACATTCTTTTGACACATATTTGAATTTTTTCTTGTAACCTAAATAACCTCAAAAGAAAATGATTTCTCTACTCACAGCACTTCCAACACCTGTGTGTGAGGCTTTTTTCCCCCCTCATATTAAACAGTTCTGACACTAGCAACCCAGAGTTAGCACAGACCCCCACAGGTTAAGGGGTCAGTTCCACAAGATTACTCACAAGTAGTGGGTCCCCAAGGTTACTCAGACTTCTGTCTGATTTGGCAACACCTCAGGTTTCTACAACCTTCTCCTCAGGCTCAATAATTCGCTAGAATGACTCATAGAATCCAGAAAAGTGCTTTACCTACTATTAATATTACTGGTTTATTATACAGGATGCAAGTGAATGGCCAGATAAAGAGGTAACAGAGGGCTAGGTCTGGAAGGGTCAGGAGCTTCTGTCCACATAGAATTGGGGTTCACCACCCTCCTAGCACCGGATGTGTTCACAGACCCAGAAGCTCTGAGAACGCCTTTATTTAAGGTTTTTGTGAAGATTCCATTATGTAGTGTCCATGGATTTAATCACTGGCCGTTGGTGATTAATGCAACCCACAGCTCCGCTCCCCTCCCTGGAAATCAAGGATGGGGCTGAAAGTTCCAACTCTATAATCACAGGGTTGGTCTCTTTGGCAGCAAGGCTCCCTCTTCTAAGAGTTACCTCATTAGCATAGACTCTGGTTGGGTTGAAAGGAGCTTATTATGAATAACAAAAGGTGCTCCTCTCACCCCTACTAAGGAAATTCTAAGGGTTTTAGGATTTCTGTGCTAGGAACTGAGATGAAGACCAAATCTATATTTCTTATTACATCACAATATCATATGTCACTGTGGTCAGTCGAAAATAATTAATGAAATCTACGGGAATAAGAGGACAAGGAGCCTATCTGACACAAGGCTATTAAAAAACGAAATCAGCAAAGGTAGACTATGGAGAAACAAAGTAATTCTGGAGTACGTTTTCAGGAGTTTTCTCACCCTTGTCTGAACTATTCAGATCAAAGGAGTTAGAACCTCCAGATAGCACTAGCTCTCTTCCAGGCCTCCCCCATATAACCACAGGGGCTTTTGGAGGCTTTGCCTGAACCTAGGTGGGTCATCAGAGGGTGGGGGAAATATCACCATGGGAGGTAGAGAGGGCCACTGGCATTGGGCATCCCAAGGGCATATTTTGAGGGAAGGAGTACATCTGTCAAGAAGTGATAAAAGTATCTAAAATCAACTTGGTGAGTTGTGAAACGGAAATCTATTTTTTTCCCCTCCAAACAAGCTAATAACCACAGTATTTTTTAGCTCATTAAAATAATAAACTGACCTCCTCTTTATTCCCCCAAATCCCATTGAAATGATAGAAGAAATAAAATAAGAAGGAACTCTCCCAGCTTACAGGAGCAACCTAGACAGCATCAGC